ATATATATATATCTTTTGCCAATACGTGGGTACCTAAAATGTATCACAGAGGTTTGTGATGATAAAGTTATTAATATTTCGTTTTTACTTTAGTTTTTCTATTCATGTATATCTCCTCCTACAAAAGCATGTATTTACCGACCTACAGATGACATCCTAAGCTGTGTAACGGGCGTTACATTACATCAAGTCAAATTCTTTCGGACATAACTATAATGACACATTTTTTAAAGAATTTAAACATACAAAATTATCTTTACAGTTTTCTTTTTGCTTTAATTTTCAAACATAAGCATGAAGAGCATATAAAATGGTGAGGACCAGAGAAAAAAGAAAGAAATTCTAAATGCCGTTGTGTTTGCATTTGTGTCATCACAGTTCATTCCGAAAGAAACTAAAAACGATCCGTTTTCATATCTTAATTTCGTTTATGAAAATTTGGGCAAACAACGATTGAAAAATGGTATAGGTTTAACGCCTTTATCAACACTATTAGATTATTTAAGGGGCGGGACAACGATTCAGAAGATTCAATTTGACTCACAATGCATGTTAATGATGAAAAAGTGCCACTATATTCCCATTTTACTATGAACCTCTGCAAAATATAAAATATCTTTCGAATATAATCATGATGACACAAAACAAAAACAAAAATATCCTGAAAAGTAAATTGAGGAACATAAAATTATTTTAATAGTTTTCTCATTGCTTTAATTTTCAAACATAAGCATAAAGAGTCTATAAAATCTCTGAAAAAAGAAATTCTGAATGTCTTTGTTTTTGCATTTGTGTTATCATAGTTATGTCCGAAAGAAATGTAAAACGTTCTATTTTCATATTTTTGGGGACAAATTTAGCAAACCAAGATTCAGGAGATTCAGATTAGCTTGCTAATGGTGAAATAATGCCACTTAATTCACATTTTACTATGACTCTAAGCAAAATATATATCTTTCTAACATAACCACGATGACATAATGGATAAATGTTTGTCATCTTTTTGAAACATAATAATAATTATCATCAATTTACTTCAAATTTTCCCCTCTCGTTGACATCTAGCCAAGCACGCGTGGTCGCATTGTTTTCTGTATCTGTGTATGTTCAAAAGATTTTTAAGGGGGGGGGGGGGGTCACAACTTACCAGCATAAATAGTAATGCTTCGATGATTTGCATGCTTGAAGTGAATGGAAGTGCACACATTCGAAGGATACTTTTGACTGTCATCTTATCTGTCAGCACACAAAGCAGTACTGGATTCTACAAGAAAAGATAGTATAGTTTTATAGTGAGTACAGTCTAGAATACTATAAACCCCCTATGTTTGATATTATCTTATATATTCCCACATTCTCGACAACACAGAGTTCGGACATGTAGATCTACTGTAAATCTTTTTTTTCCACGAGGATTAAACTCCCGTTCTATCCAAGAATCGAACTTCTTTGTTTACAAGGTTCACGCTTTCGAATACACTTTCGGATTCTTTCCTTGTATTAATTTAGAACTGCCGAAAGTGTGTTTTAAATTGAAAAAGGTAAGTCACTCCAATATTGAAAAATCGATTGAACACGTACCATGGCGAAGACCCACAATAACAGTAATGAGGCTATCGATAACAGTGCGGGTAACTTGAAAACAGTTGGACCACAAATCACTAACTATACTGAAACATAGTTTTATAAACAAGCAACCAAACCATAAAGCTAGAAAAAAGGGCTATAATTTTTATGAGGATTGAAGCTGAAAGTTGTGAATAATAAAGTCTTTGCCAGCACTTTGAAAGAAATGAAGCTCAAATTCTTCAACAAAACAACACTGAAAAAATCGGAACGTCTGTGAGCTCAGAAACAGTATTTGAATAGCTCAGGCATCGACTGATGCACAATTGTAGCGGGGGTTTTTTCTTTGCATTGTTGTTATTGCTGTAAGGGAGGGTGTTGTTGTTGTTGTTGTTGTTGTTGTTGTTGTTGTTGTTTTGTATAGAACAAATCCATTCTCAGCCCAATAAATCATTTTGACTAGAAGCTGTCCGTCTTAAAATATAACGACTGTTGGGGAATATCTTTACCCCAAAAAGATGACTGATTTATTCAAAATTTAGACACTGCGGTTGTCTCAATACATCCGATTGTTGGCATCCGACCATATTATACTCGTGCAATGTTTCCTCTTCGTCTTTGTTGATTACGAGGGCTGCCCCAGAGATTTTTTTTAAAATGGCCACATTTAAATAACTACATGTTTATTTTCTGTTCTGTAGAATGAAAATAATTTATTACAAGAGTTGTGGTGTAAGATCATGGTTTATCCTATGGGTGAAATTGCCGAGTTGTAATCACGAGTTTCAACGACTGATTACAACTGGCAATTTCACAAGTAGGATATATAATGGTCTAACACCATAACGAGCGTAATAATTTGTTTATACCATACTGATGTCAGAGACCTAGCAGTGTAAACGAGACAGTACAGCTTGAGCAGATCACGAATCTGAACAATCCTATGACAACAGTAACTGCGCCGGTAAACTCAAACAAACATGGCTAATTCTAAGAACATACACTGTAAGTAGTATGTAATAAACTACACTAATTTTTAAAAAAAACAACAGACGACCTGAATTAGCTTTCTATCGTTTTCGTAAAGACCATGAAAGGTAAGTCAATTGGTGGATAAGTAGATAACGCTTGAATAGTGTATTATTTAGTGAAAATGTGTTTCAAAACACACACATTTGTATTTACCATGAATGAAAGCGTGTGTTGTGACTTTCGTTTTAATTAGATCTATATCTAGTTAATCTAGATCAAGATCTAGATCTAGATCTAGATTCTAGATATAGATAGGTCTACTGTAAATCTAGGTTTCATATCAGGCTTTTGAGTTGGTTGGCGCTATTTTCGTTTTGCCAAAGAAGTTTGTTTACATGTGAGTGGGCGCGCCTCTGCTCTTACTTATTAAGGAAAGTGTTTTATTAGATTCTAACGTTGTGTTATAATCTAACGAGATTCTCTTAAAAGTGCAAGCACGTGAAACCTCTAAATCCAGTCCCTTTCTGGATTAACGTTTTACAGCCTTAGAGACTTTCTCTACAGTAAATTCATCACCAGCAAACGCCTGGTTAGTCTGGAAGTGGAAGACTGAAGAAAACGAGACCAGAAAGGATGGTGCAACACTGCTGTGTCTATCAGTGTACTAAGAAATCCTCCAAAGGAACCCCTCTTTCTTTTCACTGGTAAGAATAAGATTTTAAAGAATTTGGACAGATTAAATCCAGATCTATGTTTTGAAGAAAATGTTCGAAAAGATTAGGAGCCTGGTCGGATCAAAGGGTACCTTTCAGTTAATTAATATCAAATCGAACCGCTGCAATCTTACCTCGCATTTGTGTTTATTTACTTATTTAAAGATCACAAAATCCAAGCTAGATCTACTAATTTGAGGTACTAGTTTCACTCACTTGACTCACTGATTTAAGATATTAAACATGAACAGTCATAAGACTGCATGCATCTGTAGCAATATAAACGTATCAGCAATGATATCTTTATGGGATGATGATGGATGGGAGCGACCAAACATAGGCTGCTATTGTAACTTTCCTTGAGTTTAAAATATATGATGTAATGTTTAGGATATATTAGTTAAAAAGGAAATCATAGCCAGACTGCGTTTAGTGCTGAGCGTTTTAATCACTGCATTTTAATCTGTGTTTGGTACACATTTTCTATTGCACAAATGAATTTAAACAACTCAACACCACTGTTTCTGTCATGCAGTTCAGAGATTTCTGTTTCCTTTCATTACATCGTCTAGAATCTATGGGTGTTTTTTTTTGGGGGGGGGGGGAGTGAGGTGCATAGAGGTCGAATGTAAAGCTATTGGACAACAGTAAGTTTGGCTGTTTATATTATAGATTTTTAATAGTGTCACATGTCTTCAATTTTGTAGTAAAATAAAAGAATGGCTCATTATTTTCGACATTTCTCATGGTTTGAGTAGGGCTTCCCTTTTTTATATTTTTGGCACTTCAACGTCACTTTAGACGACAGAGACATAGTAGGGACGAGGCAGGACAACATTACAACAAATAATCGACACTCACAATCTGAAAGATAGCTACAGAGAAACACACGCACACACCAATGATACAATGCACAACAATTCAGGAATAGATAGAGCGGCAAGGATAAACAGAATCTACGTATACAACACGGACACAATCACACAATGTGAACACTTAGACCACACGCTGTCATTTACAGACCATAAAGCAGTAGTAACAACAATCAATACAAACAATACGCCTCCTAGACGATCTCTGCACGGGAAATTTAACACATGATCACAAACACGATCAAACAACACACACAAAGATTACAAACCAACAATGCTAGGGAGACATGGGACAATTTAAAACATATCATTAAACTAGACACAATATCAAAAGCAAAAGAAATCAGTAGAAATAGGAGACATCGACAACAACAATACAGAATAGAACTTGCAAAACAGTAAAAGTTACAGGAAGCATAAAACCTAATAGAGCTAGAAGATCTTAATCAAATAAAATATAGAGGGCACGGAATGGAACAAATTAATATCCAACAATAGAAGACGAAAAACCAACACCAGTATACCTGGCGTTAGAATAAAGAGTACAAAAAAAGAATGATAACAGCGATTACAGACACACAAGGAAACAGACAAACAGATTAAGAAAAAATAACAGACGCTTTTCAAAATTCTATTCCGCACTTTATGCTAAACAAGATACAGACGAAGCAATATAGGACAATATGCCACACACCGCGCAGCTTACGTACGAACAACAACACATCCTCGAAACAAACATTTCCGTAACAGATCTGCGAAACGCACTCAACTTGATGAAGTAGAACACCTCGCCCGGCCCAGATGGCTTCACTGTCTTGTTTTATCTCGCTTTCTTCCCCGTGTTGCCCCCCCCCCCTCTTCGCAGCAATGGTAGGCCCCTAAAGGAAAGCTATGAGTTAGAATGTTTGCAAGAATCACTAAACTTATCGTGCATTTCCCTCATTGCGAAAGACTCGGGCTCCCCTTAGGAAATCAAAAGCTACCGTCCCATATCTTTATTAAATGTAGACTACAGAATTATCACTAAAACCCTGACGAACAAATTGAGACCGTTCATGCAACATTTAACCCACACAGACCAAGCCAGCGTAGTACACAGTAGAGCAATACAAGAGCACAACCACACACTTAGGGACATTATCACATATTGTAGAGGACAAACAGTTAAACAGGTGTATACTTCGCCTAGATCAGACAAAGGCATTTGACAGGGTGTCTCATTCGTTTTAGGTCGCAGTATTATAATCAACACACTCAGTTTTAGACAGATGCAATTTAGGCCCAGCGTTCCAGAAATGGATTCAAATTTATACAAAAAACCGCAATAAAAAATCCTAGTTAACCATACCCTGTCAGATGCCTTCAATATAGGAAGATCAGTTCGACAAGGAGACTCTCTAAGCCCTCTTTTTTTATGTACATACTAAGTTTACAACTTTTACTAAATTCAATCCGAAAAGACCCACATATTTCAGGTATCAAACTCCTGGGAAGGGGGGGGGGGGGGGGGGGGGGGACAGAAATTAATAGCATTTGCGGACGATACAAATTTTCCCCAACTCATTATAAATCAATTCAACAGATCTTTAATCATTTTCGATATTTTGGCAGGGGGAGCGGATCAGAAATTAATTAAACAAAAAGTCAGGCGATAAAATTAGGAAAATGGAAAAACATGGCAAACGATCCAGCCCGACACGCACAACGAAAGCACAACATTACACGCACAACGAAAGACATAATTTATTATTATACACAGCGTCGGTAAAACGACAAGCAACACCATTATACGACCAAATTAAAAGTGGTAGGATATACGCAATATTGGACTTTTCGGAAACCTTTAAAAACCTGCACTTTAAAGACTCAACACCCTTCCAAAAACAGATCACGTATAGGATACTCTACAACAACACCCCCACAAGAGAAACACAGAGCCACGGAAGAGTAAGGTGCAAAACAGAAGACGAAACCAATGAGAAACAGAAGAACACAATATTCTACACATGCCCACACATCCAACAGACCAAACATGAATTAGCAAAATTATTAAACGCAAAATCAGAAATACAGGTAGACATGTACAAAGCAATCTTTCTAAACATACTACCACCACAACTAACAGACACCCATAACATTATGTTTGACTCCAAAATCCTAGCAGTGTACAGAGAAACCTTTTGGAAGGTCAGATTACAAACAAATTTTGACGACAAAAACCACACACCCCTCACTATTTCGGATTATTTTCCACGAAAAATCACGTACACATTTACTACAAAAACAAAATGGGCAGTTTCTGAAAGATATTTGAACTGTGGCGAGAGAGAGAGAGAGAGAGAGAGAGAGAGAGAGAGAGAGAGAGAGAGAGAGAGAGAGAGAGAGAGTAAATGGTTTGAAAGCAGGTCAAACAGTGTAGACAGAGACTGGAAGGACGAACCGAGTTAGACTGCTCTGTGAGCACAGAGTAACGACAACTCGACAACCCAGAGGTCGAACGGCCACGTGTGCAGGAGAAAGCAGCTCAAGAGTGAATGAAATAAAATTAATCATTAAATAAAATATGTACCTAGAATGAATGAGAATGAATGAATAACCATTTATGTGTATGCGAGTGAGGGAGGAGGGAGGAGGAAGGGGAATGAAAGAAAAGGCGGACGCGGACGAGCCGCAAATGTACATAATATTATTATGTCGAATACATCGGCGAGAGTATGAAGGGGACATACAAGAGCCCCATAGTGAATTATTCCAGCGGGGTTATGCTCTTATGTGCTCATAAAGGCCCCAGGGGTATAATAACCCAAAAAAAAAATGACATTTAAAAAAATCGTCGTAACCCCAAAACAACTAGATATATACCAACCTTTTAGGAAAGACATGTAATTGATTATATTGATAATTATTGCACTTGATAGATCTGATAGATCTAATTTTTGAGGTGTCCCTGTCTAGTTAGTCTAGTTATCTTCATGCTGAGAATGTAAGTAGATCTACATTACATACCGTACCATTTATATTGCTGTTTGTCTTTTATATTTCCTCTTTGTTGTGTTTCAATTTGTTGGTGTATTTACTTGTTTTTTTATAGTTCTGTTGTGCGGTTTTTATATTTTCGTGTGTGTGTGTGTGTGTGTGTGTGTGTGTGTGTGTGTGTGTGTGTGTGTGTGTGTGTGTGTGTGTGTGTGCGTGCGTGTTTGTGTGTGTTTATATAACGTAATGTCATTTAATTTGATGCTGTTCCTGCCTTTTAAAAATATAAATGTGTTATGTAAGAGCGTGTCTCCACCAAAATCGAATACATGTACTGACACTGGCACGCCCATTGTGCGTGACTCCATAAATTACATGTAATATCCTGTATTAGGCCTTCTTTTTTATTGAATTACACACGTTTATGTTAGGGTTTCAACGGCCAATCTTCGTTTAGGTGGACTCGCGCCCTTATTTGTTAATTTTGAGGTTGTGTATGTTTTGTGCAGTTCTAATTTTGATTTCATTCTGTTGTGAAACTTATTTGTTACGTTTTTACACTCTGTGTGGCTACAATTCTGGATGCGGAAAACTGAGCGCAAGAAATTCTGGTGCTGTAGATTAAGCTATCTCTGTCAACACATTGCTATACGTCGTTCTAGAGAGTTGAAAGCTTGAACATTAATAATGGCAACTTTTATGTCAACTTTTGCCATTTTTTTGTGACACCTTTTGGCAACTTTTGGACAAAAAAGCAACAAACGCAGATGCTAGAACAATGTAATTATTTGATGAACATTTATTCAAGCTGAAATAAGCCTAGATCTACTAGATCTAAGTGGTTTCCGCTTTTTATATTATGCGTGTATTGTCGATCTATCATTTTGAGAATTACAATGTAGTGTCCACTGTCCATACTGTGTTTTTCTGGAGTGATGCTTCAATGTCTGGACGGAAAAAGCAATTCCCAAACGTCAGTTGTGCTAATCAAATTGAAAGAGGGCAGTTTAGCTGCACCTGACAAGTCACATAAATAATGATGACCGAATAAGCCTTGAATTAACGAACTGAACGTAACAGCACAATACTCTGATGTAATACCGGTGCATTATGGTGCCCATCATTTGACTCTATTTAAAACAAAATCAAGGGCGACGTAGAAAGATTTGCACGTAAACTGAACTATCTGTGTAAGAGATAGCGAGACTGTTTGGGTGGCCAAGATGAGCGTGCTTCGCAGCGAAGTTTTTACTAGACCACTTTTCCTACAGAGGGAAAGTAAGAAAATAAGAAAATAAGACCGTGCTGTAAGTACATTATCTTTTGGTTGCCTCCAGTAAGACACAAAAGGCCCTTACGGATGCTACGACTTAAAAAATAATACATGACAAGAGAAACTGAGTTTATCTTAACCTCAAAATCTCGAAGTTCAAGTCATAGGGACGAGCAACCAGAGGTCGTTTTGAGATTACGTGATTACTGTTTTGTTCATGCCCATATAAAAACGGAGTGTATACAGACCCGGTAACCGGGAACCAAGTCACGAAGTATACAGACCCGGTAGGGGAACTCATTTGTGATTTCGGAAAGTTTCAGCGCCCAGACCCGGTAGTGTGTGTGTGTGTGTGTGTGTGTGTGTGTGTGTGTGTG